CCTCCAGAAATGCCTGGGTGAAAGGCTAGGGCCAAGGTAGCTGGACGCAGGGACTCTTCAGAGGCAACTCCACAGTAAGAGGAAAACAGGCAGTGTGAGGGTAGGCGGGTCCTCCTAAGTAAATCCAGATCCCAGTCAGGGCGGACTGCGAGGCTTCCCGGAGTCCCTCTGCACACACAACACCCAGGAATGACTTAGCACCAAAACACCAGTAGATCGCTTCAGAGAAGGGCTGAGCATACACGTCCAAGTCTTGGGACTAAACTTCAGAAACACGGAGCACAAGCTGTCCACACCCACCTCCCTCCCACTCCCGGCCTCCCCACCAAAAACCACACCCCCCCCTGCGGGCGGGAGAGGGGGATGGTGGGCTGGGAAGGGCAACGCGATGGTCCCCAGATGGGTTCAGTACTGAACAAGAAGGGAAAGGGTGCTGACAGGGCGAGGGAGACCTCAAATGAGCTAGGAAAAGAACTCAAAAGGAGCGGGAGTATAAAAAAAAAAAAGGACCAAAATGTAAGAAGCAAGGACCAGAGAGGGACACCGAGAGCGTAACTGGGAACAACTGGGAACTGGAACAGCAAAGCACCGGGGGACAGGGCACGAGGGAATGGGAGGGGCGGGGAAGACAAAGAGGCTGGAGAACTCAACAGTCCTCTGGGGACCGAGAGCCACGGGGGGCACGGGGTTCAGGGGTCATCCAACTAAGAGTGTCCAGAGACGACACCATGCCCGTGTGGAGACTGGAGCGACTGCACAACAGGGGCCTGGGAAATGGGAATGACTGCGGAGCAGGGGGGCCCGGAACTGAAACTGGGACTGGGGGGCGGGGGGGTCCCGGAGTTAGGAGGGACTGAGAGCCGGGAGATCTGAGAACTGGGGGGAAGGACCGGTGACTGGGCAAGGGAGTCGGAGGACTGGGAGAGGCTGGGGGTCTGGGGACAGGTGTCCAGGAGCTGGTTGTAAGCGATGGACAGGAGGCAGGGGACTGGCAGTGCCTGGACTTGGGACGCCAGAGAAGTGCAGGTGACCGGGGGCCAGCTCCCGCGCGGACCGGGGTCTGCGAGAGACCGGACGGGGGTCTGCGAGCGAGCGAGACGGGGGACTCGGGGGCCGGAGTGTGCAGCTGGAGCGGCGGGAGCCGGGGCAGCCGGGCCGGGTGACAGCGGCAAAGCCGCCACTCACCGCTCATGGTGCCGCTCCCGGGCCGGTGCCTGCGCCGTGCCGCCGACACTGCCGCCACTGCCGCCGCCGGGCTCCAGACAGGCCGGGAGACAGCGCACCGCCCCGCCCGCCCCGCCCCGGAAGTGGAGCTCCGCCGCCGCGGACCCGCCCCCCGACCCGGAAGGTAAATACGGGCGCCGGCACGGCGGCGCGGCGGCGCGGCGGCGTAGCAAGGCAGTGGCGTCCTGGCGGGTCAGAGACCCTCGCTGGGAAGCACCGAGGTGCGAGAGTCGCCCGGCGTGCTTGGCTGCGGCGGGACCGAACTGGACGTTTCTGTGCCCTCTTGGGCCCACAGCTCTGTCGGGGAGACAGTGAACAGGCCCGGAGAAATTAGCCAACACCGTTCCAGAGAGCAGTAGGAGCTGAAAAGGGAAATAAAAAAGGGTAATGGTACAAAACCTGCCTGGACATGGGCAGTTCCGGAGGGCACCCCTAAGGAAACGATCTTTGAGCTGAGACCTGGACCATGGCTGGGAGACGGGCCCGAGAAGATGCGCAGGAAGGGTGTTCCCAGAACAGCGAGTGCAAAGGCTCTGCCTCAGCGCTTGACTGGAGCCAGAGGGTGGGTGAGAGAGAGGAGGTAGGAGAGCAGGGTGGAGGGTATAAGGGAATGGGAAGCCATTGCAAGAATTTACGCAGAGGAGTGACACGATCTGAATTAGGTCTTAAGACGATTACTCTTCCTGGGTTCAGAATGAATTGTAGTGGGGCAGGGTGGAGAAAGGGCACCTGCTTAGGGAGCCATTGCAGTCAGCTGCCCAGCAAGAAATATGTCTGGGGCTAGCGTGGTGGCATTGGAGATGAAGGTGGATGGATGATGTGCCAACACGTGTTCATAATACGAAGCTCAGATTGCTGTCCCATTTTATACGTGGGGGAAAGGGGACCCAGAAAGGTTTAAAAGGGCATCTTTCCTGAAAACCCGGAGTAAAAAAAAAATACATTTTACAGCACAACCCAGTACACATATGCATACATTTAAGGAGATGTTTAACAAAACAATTCCATGGGTAATGTATTCTCTTCTATTTTTCTTTCTTTTTTTTTTTTTTTTATGCTGACTGAGACAGTTGATTGATCCACTAATAAATCTTGATCCACGGTTGAAAACACTGAAATGAGGAACAGGCCCCACAGGGAAATGGAGCCAGAATTCCAGCCCAGTCCTGTGTGACCCACAGCTCCATGGTCTTCCTACTACACTGCCTCTGAACACAAAACCTCCGGCCCCCAGGAATTTATCTTTTGGATTCAGAGAAGTCAAGAGCTCTTTGGAGAAGACTGTAGGGCAGCATTATTTATGACAGTGAAAGAGTGGAAAGCACCAAAGCCCAACTGCAGAAAAATAGCTGAGCAAATCATGGCCCATTTCACAAGGAATCTCTTGCAGTAGTTGAAAATGCTAATTATAAGGATGGAAACATGGGGAAAGGCCAATGAAAATGAGTTAACTAAAAAAAAGTTCCATACAAAATGGTCTGTATGCCATGATTACAATCGTGTCAAAGTATGACCATGTGTAGGGACTAAGAGAATGGAGAGATGAAAATACTTGTATGTTTGGTTGGTGGGGCTGTCTTTGCCATTTTCCAAAATTATACTCTATAGTTGTTGTGAATTTGTAATTTTGAAGAGTCTGTGTGCCGAAATCCACTCCCTCAACTCCCCCACCCCCAAAAGTCTAGTTTGGTTCCTCCTGCCTCTGTAACCCTTGGTAAGGCATCACATACCTGCTTCATGGAGTTGTCACCAGGATAACATGTTCTACCTTCTCATAGCGCCCTGTACCTTTCCTTCATGGCACTTGAGGCAGATTAAGTGAGTGACATCAGAGCTTATGCTTTACCTATTCTATCCCCAACCACCCCACTGAAACGTTGTAATTCCTTTTTTCAGAGATTTTCACCTGGTCCTCAAAGACCAAGAATTAAGAGCCTAAAGTCTACAGCTCTTGTCAGCCTTGAAAAACTAAACTCATTGAGGAGATGTTGGGGGGGTGGGGAGGAAGAGGGCCTGTGAGAAGCTAGGAGCAGTATTCCATATACCGTTCCTGCAACAGCTGTAGAACAGGAGAAGAGTGTGTGCCTGCTCTCAGACTACAATTCAAGCAGATTAATAAAAATCATTACAGCAATGTAACTCAAAGTATTTATTGTAAACCAGATACTTTCATGAAAAAATTTATATATATATATACATGCACGTGTATGTATGCAAATAAGTGTGTCTGTGTGTTTTCATTTAATCCTTAAAACAACTTATAAGTAGATACTATTATTATTGCCATTTTACAGATGGGGAAACTGAGGCACAAGTGGTTAAGTAATTTTCACAGTCACCCGAAGTCTGTAACTTCTAGTAACAGAGCCAGGATTCAAGTCCAGGAATCTGGCTCCAAGAGCCAGTACTTTAACCACTGTACTATATTGTCTCCTGTGGTCCTCAAGGGCCTGGAATGGAAACTTGGAATGGCCCCCAATGGGTAAAAAGGGCTCACCAAGTTTCCCCTTATCCCAAACCTGACACAAAAGCCACAAAGCCCCAAGACTTTGAGGTCTACACTGTTTTGTCAGTGGGCATCTTAACAATGATCAAAGTCAACATATTATCAGAGGGCATCATCACCTGTTGCATAACCTTTCCATAACACCTCAGGACCTTTGCACAACCCCAGGGAGGGACCCCTCCCCCAATAATGACTAAGATTGTAGCCCAAAGAGCTGGGGAACTCAAATGAACTTAAATCGACATGAAGAGAAAAAAATAAATAAATCAGGATGTCTGGGTTTAAATCCTGGCTCTGCCATTTACTGGTTATGTTACCTTCCTCTGACTCAGTTTCTGCCATCATCTGTAAAATGGAGGTAATAATTGTCCACCTACCTTGTGATTTGTTGTATGCATTAAATGAGTACAGGTAAAGCATATAGAACAATCCTGGCACATTAGTAAGGCTAAGTTTTTTGTTGTTTTTTTTTTAAAGATTTATTTATTTACTAGAGAATAAGAGAAAGAGGGTGTGAGCAAGGAAAGGGGCAGAGGGAGAGAGAGAGATGGAGAATCTCAAGCAGACTCCTTGCTGAGCACAGAGCCTGAGTCATGGGGCTTGATCCCAGGACCCATGAGATCATAACCTGAGCTGAAATCAAGAGCCAGACGCTTAACTGACTGAGCCACACAAGCGCCCCTAGTAAGGCTAAGTTTTAGCCATCATTATTATTACCTGCATTGGGGTCTGAAAATGATACCTACTATAACTTTGTCATAGTTTGCAATTACACATTTATTTATGGGATCGTAATAATGCCTGATGTCTCCATTAAGCTGAAAGCTCACAAGGTCAGGAGCCTTGCACTCACGCATTGCACACTAAATTAGTGTGGCTGACTCTAGGCTTCTCCTATATCCAGGAGTACATAGGATCACCTTGCTTTCCATTAATAATAAAGAGAAAAATCCAATCTGGCTTGAAACATATATGTGTGTGTGTGTATAGGAGAGAAGGGAGCTAGCCATAGAAATATGGGACTATGGGCTCTGCACACTGCAGTGCTTTTTTTCAGTGAGTCAAGAATTTAATCATGAAACCAAGGAAATTTCCACAGTTAAGCTCCCAACAGTAAGGTAGGGAAGTACATCTAACAAAGATTTTCTAGAATTACAGGACAAAAAGCTCTATCAGCAACTGATAAGTACAATCATCCTAAAGAGATCTGATACCTCATCCTTCTGACATAGGATTTTCCAAGCAGCTCTACACCAGGTGAAATGGTCGATTATCTGGTAAAAATGGGTTTCTCCATCTCTGTGATACTAGCTAGCAGGCTGTTACAGTAGTCATTTGTTTTCGTGGTGACAAGAATGGTTGCACCTTCCTCCATAGCCGGAAGTGGAAAGAAATGGTCAGAATTGACCTTTGATTCAGAATTGACGCAGTCTTCACAGGTACATTCTTCTACTGTGTACTCCAGGCCCCTCAAGAGAACTTCCTCACCAGTCCTGCTAGCACGGCCCTCCTCCTGGTCAGCGTTCACCTCGTTCTGGAGAGCCGATCCTGATTATGCAGAAACACAACCATTAACCCCAACTTCCCAGGTGGTGCAGTCATGATAGTCTTAGCAGTACACATTAGGGCTCCAAGCCATGGAGACAGATCTCCTACAAAATAAATGAGTATGTTCCTGCACTAGAAGTCACGAACTGGTAGACCACAGGCCACATTGGATTTGAAGACAGACTTTGTTTAGGTCCATACAGTGTTTTTAAGTGTTTGCTTACATGTTTTATGTTGACCCCCCTTTAAAAATCAAAAGATTTAAAAAACAAAACAAAAAAAATTCAAGGGATTTCACCCGCAAATCGAGGTGATTGGTCTCTTTAAAAAAAAAAAAAATGGGGCTAACTGGTAGCTAGCATTCCTACGTGAAAACAGTTGGCTGGAGTCAGTAGCACCTGTCTCCTTGAGGAAGGGCATAGGCTCTCTACTGTTGAAACCTCCACCTGGCCCGTTGCATTCACTGGTTGCCCACTTGGCCCTTGGAAGCACTGAGGTATTGATCCTATTAGACACCGGTGAAATGACAGATTACCGTATGTTACAGCACACCAAAATGAGCCTTTGGGTGACGCTTTAGAATTCAAAGCAAAGATGCTTCCCTTACAGAGCATTTGGTAGCAAATCAAAATTTTCCTTTATAATGAATCTTTTGTGACCATGTAAGGAAGGAGTCTCTATTATGTCCCCATTTATATGCCGGTGAAGGTAAGCTTTATTACTTCCCCAACCTGCCACAGAATAACTCCATCTTCCAGAATGTCCCACTTAAAGTCACTCCCCACCTGTCTCTCAGATCTCAGGCACAAGAAAAAAAGAAAAGTGAGTAAATTATGGGCAACAGCCATCTACCTCTCTTTACTGCAAATGAGCTGGGTGCTTTATGCAGATGATGCACAGAAAATAAATGCATCAAGAAATAGGCCAATGGCTGCAACGTGTTTGGGAATCAGATCATGGGCAAAAGTGCTGCAGAAATATTTTTATCTTAAAAAGCCTTTAAGTAGAACATTCACTTCTCCGAGACTGGTTCTCTGCTGCTTAATAAAGATAATAATCTTTAAAATGACTGCTCAAATACTCCAAGAACAGCTGGTTATTCATTTCTAGCAGTTTTTTTGGCAGTAAAATATTCACCCAAGCAAACAGCATTTACATTTCTATTAAGAATATGGCCATGGATCTTGTCAAATACTTTTTTCCTGGTAGTAGCAGACCTGGCTAGCAGTTTCTGAGAGTAAGACATTTAATCAATGTGCTAACTTTGGTCAAAGAGATGGATGTTTGCCAAGGAAGCCTCAGTACTTCAGAAGAGTAATTACTGAGTGAAGAATGTGGGGGAGGTATGGCTCTGTGGGGCACCTGCAAACCAAAAAGAAGACAGCTTGCTCCTTCCCAAAAGTTCTTTTAACAAAACTGTCTTCTAACACACTCAAAAGGGCTCTAACCAAATGAAACACTCAACACGGAAAAAAAAAAGAGAGAGAGAGAGAGAGAGCGCGGGAAAAGGAACTGAAATTCACAATAGCGACCTCTTGGAAGTAGATTTCCAAGACTAAACATCAAACCAACCTGTGCTTTTACGTTCATTCTTTGATGGTTCTGAATTCATCTTCTTTAGCAAGAACATCAACACGAAAACTGTCAAAGAAACGATCAAGCTCAGGCCCAAACAGGTCCAGAGAATTGTATTCGTTTCTTTCACTGAATTAAAAGAATATCAGAGAGATAATGAACTGACAACATAATATCCACATCAAGTAAAGATTATTTGCCATCCAATTCCCTTAATTCATCAGCATTGACTTGTAAATTCTAAATAACACTTAATTAGAAGAGTTGATAAAATCTATGTTGCTAACAGCGCTGAATAAAATTGAGTTCAGTTCTGAGTAATTACTTTGCTCCTGTTGGCATTTAAATACTTGCCTTATTTCCTTTCTCTTTTTGATTCAGGAGATCTCACCCTCTTCCCCATAATGTCTATTCTTCGAATAAATAGTCAATGTAGAGAAAATAGGTCACACCAATGAATTAATTGTTCAAGCAGTATTACTTACTTGCATCACAATAACGCTGACAAGGTAGAGGAGGGGTATTAGAACATCGAAGGTGACACGGTTTGCAAGCAGTAAGCAATTTGTCAAAATACTCATTTTGGATGCACTGCTGAGCCATCTGGAACGGGATCACAAAAAGAAACAAGGAAACCCCAGAAAGAACAGCATGGAAGGACAAGTAAAATCTCGTCAGGAATTCCCCAGCAAATGTACTGACAGCAGCTAGAATGTCAAGGGGAAAAAAAGAACTTCACAACTATGACTTAGTTCCTACGAGGGGCTGGCTACTTGTACTGTGGCTAAGGATTTGAATACCAGCTCTAATTCCAGTTTCTAAGTTTGAGGCTGGGGTAGGGTCAGAGATGGAGTGTAAATATCAAGGGCAAACCATACCTGAAACAGAAACCACTTATTTATAGAGGAAATTTCTATAAATAAGCCAGGTGATAGTTGCAAGGTGTGCGGACATGCCTGACGCATCCGGCAGAAAGGTTCAATAACCACTTCTGGACCATCTGTTTTTGAGCTGTGCTGTGTGATGCGCCCCAGGGAGACAAAGTCTGTGCCCCTTAAGAACTTAAAATCTAACAGGGGAGGGGCGCCTGGGTGGCTCAGTCGGTTGAGTGGCTGCCTTCGGCTCAGGTCATGATCCCGGAGTCCTGGGATCAAGTCCCGAATTGGGCTCCCTGCTTGGCGGAGAGCCTGCTTCTCCCTCTCCCTCTGCCTGCCTCTCTGCCTGCTTGGGCTCTCTCTCTCTCTCTGTCAAATAGATGAATAAAATCTTTAAAAAAAAAAAAAAGAAAGAAAATCTAACAGGGGAGATAGAAATCCAGTCAACCACAAGGTGTAGTAAGAACTGAGAGAATGTGAAACAGGGAAAAGGGCATCAAGCATGCCTCCCAGGTTTTGGACCTGTGAAGAATTGCAGAATTCCAACAGAACTAGGGATGTCTATGGGGCGCCTGGGTGGCTCAGTCGTTAAGCGTCTGCCTTCGACTCAGGTTATGATCCCAGGGTCCTGGGACCAAGCTCCATATTGGGCTCCCTACTCAGCGGGAAGCCTGCTTCTCCCTCTCCCACTCCCCCTGCTTGTGTTCCCTCTCTCGCTGTGTCTCTCTCTGTCAAATAAATAAATAAAATCTTAAAAAAAAAAAAAAGAAATAGGGATGTCTGGGGTAAAAGCTAAATTGGTAAGAGGGTTGAGGGGAAGATAGATTTGGGGCATTAGTAGTAGAGTAATCCATGCTCCACTGTTGAAAATTTAGAAAACACAAATGAACAGATAGAAAAACTATCCATAGTCCAAGCATCCAGAAATAATTAACATTTTGATGTCTAACAGAAGTTGCAAACAGGCTTGCTGCTGTATTCTGTTTGGTCAACCCCTGATATAGATCTTTCTGGAAGGATTTCTGAGGATAGATGATAGATAAATAGATAGATGATAGGGCAAACGCATTTTCCTTTTTACATAAATGGAATCACTTGCGTTGGCTTTTAGCCATACTAAGTGGGATACCCATATAGAGACATCCAGAGAGGTCAGTCAGAAATTCAGGACTCAGTTAAAATGCAAGAAAATGACAAACTCCAAATTCAGTGTAATCTCTGGGGTGCAGGGAGGGTACAAAAGAGCCCCAGTTGTGTTGGTCACATTTTATTAAGCCGAGTGGTGGATACATTGGTATTTGTTGTGTTACTCTTTTGTTGTACTCTTTGTTACTATTGGCATCTTTTTGTATTTTTTTTTTAAGCCCCGCACCCAGCGTGGAGCCCAACTCAGGGCTTGAACTCACAACCCTGAGATCGAGACCTGAGCCAATATCAAGTGTCAGATGCTTAACCAACTAAGCCACCCAGGTGCCCCCACACCTTTTCATATTTTTTAAATGGTACATAATAAATATTAAGATAGTGATGATAACAACATAAAATGTGGGAATTAAAAACAACACTATTTTTTTTTAATGAAGGGTTTGAGCCTAAAAGAGAGTGTGAATTCAGATTTTGATCAAAACCTCCCATTCCTCTGGGAGTCCAGGCAGTGAGGTAAATGGGTGTGGGCCAAGAGCTAACCCAGCAGGTTCCACTCCCTCAAGCTCCTGCCAGACAGTAAGGCAGACAAAGGTCCCAGGAAAATCATGCTTAGGGAAATGGGAAGATGAAGATCATCCACCATAACAGCCAAACAAGGAGAGTTTCAGGACGGGATGGGCAGTGAGGTCAAATTCTACAGAAAAGTCAGAAGTGATGTACTAAGGAAGGAGGTCACTGGTGCGCCTTGAGTATGTTTGTGGGTAGAAGCCATATTGTAAGTACTTAAGGAGTCGAGAGAAAGAGAAGCAGCCAATGTGGGCCATGCCTGGGAAGTCTGGTAGAAACCAGAAGAACAAAGCTTTGCTAACTCTTGGGAAAAGAAGCACAATTGTTTCCAACAGATGTGTGTGTGCTCAGGTGCCTAACGTAAGGTGCACAAGGATATTTGCTGCCTCATCATTTGTATTCACAAAAGCCCTTCCATCAATGGGGACTTGGGGTGGAAGATTATGCAACCATCAGAAAGAATGCGCCAGATGTGTTCTCATATGAACGATACATCACTGAGTGGAAAATGCAAGTTACTGAGCAAGTGTGTAATCTGTTCTGCTGTGTTTACAAATAAAAGAGTAGGCAGGGGCGCCTGGGTGGCTCAGGCCGTTCAGCATCTGATTCTTGGTCTCAGCTCAGATCTTGATCTCAAGGTTGTGAGTTCAAGCCCAGCGAGGAGACTACTTGAAAAAAACCAAACAAACAGGTAGAATAGTAGGTATATAGACGTATGTAGATATATATCTATATATAGACATAAGCTAGGGTGGGAAAAAAGACTTAGTTTTCACTGAAAAATCTTTGGTACTGTTTGAATAATTATTTTTGAATAATTATTCTTTAAGATATATTTATTTATTTATTTATTTGAGAGATAGAGAGCATGAAAGGGAAGAGTGTCAGAGGGAGAAGCAGACTCCCCGCTGAGCAGGGAGCCCGATGCGGGACTCGATCCTGGGACTCCAGGATCATGACCTGAGCCGAAGGCAGTCGCCCAACCAACTGAGCCACCCAGGCGCCCTGAATAATTATTCTTTAAATAAGAATCTTTTTTTTTTAAGGGTGGTGTTTTAGTCCATTCAGGCTGCTATACAAAATACTATAGACTGATGGGATGCCTGGGTGGCTCAGTCGGTTAAGCGACTGCCTTCGGCTCAGGTCATGATCCCAGGGCCCTGGGATCAAGCCCCGCGTCGGGCCTCTGCTCCGCAGGAAGCCTGCTTCTCCTTCCTCCTGCCGCTCCCCCTGTTTGTGTTCCCTCTCTTTCTCTGAGAAATAAATAAAAATCTTTAAAAAAATACTATAGACTGAGTATAGTTCTTTTTTTTTAAAGATTTTATTTATTTATTTGACAGAGCAAGACACAGCGAGAGAGGGAACACAAGCAGGGGGAGTGGGAGAGAGAGAAGCAGGCTTCCCGAACAACACGTCGGGCTCCCTGCTCAGCGGGAAGCCTGCTTCTCCCTCTCCCACTCCCCCGGCTTGTGTTCCCTCTCTCACTGTGTCTCTCTCTGTCAAATAAATAAAATCTTTAAAAAAAAAATAATAAGGGAATTTACTGGCCTCTGGTTGAGAAATCCAGCAGTAGAATCGGCTTTACTGGCTTGAGTTTTGTCTTAGCATTCTGGTTTCTCTCTGTCATTTAATTCAGCAATGCCATCTTCTGGATCTTGCCTACAGTCTCGGGTCCTCCCCTCATGGTTACAAGAAAGCTGCAGCACCTCCGGACTTCACACACTCCTCTTCCTTCCAAACTCTCTCCCCAGTAATCTCATCTGCTTCTGTGGTTTTGAACGTGTTAACATCCAAACCTACATGTGCAGCCCCAACCTTGTCCCCGAAATCCAGACCCAACTACCACTGCCTACTTGACATCTCTACTTCCAAGCCAAGGAGGCACCTCAAACTTCATTGAAGTGCATTTGGATTCTCCAAAAAGGAGAGAGTATATGCTGTCTTTATGTAAATCCACTTGGTCATGGAATCCCTTTTTTCAAGGACCACCTATCAACATTCAGGAATATGTTTCATAGAACACAATTTGAGAAGAATGAGGCCACATTAGCTCCATGATTCGCCCCAGGTCTGAAAGACTGTGATTTAGGGACTTAGCAGAGCAACATTTAAAATAAGGATTTTTTAAAAGTTTCATGACAGAGTTTGTCAATGAAATAACATCACCAAAACACCGCTAGGTCTGACCTCACTCTACACAGAAAAAAACAAGAGGAAAACCAATCCCGGAGTCAGCCTTAAGCTTCTACACCTCCTTATAGCTCTGAAGAAGCAGAGACACTGCCTCAAACGTCCAAAGCCATTAGCATGCTCTGCAAGGAAAATTCCATCCAACCAGAAGATTCTTCTCTCCACATTATTAAACTATGATCAAGTTTTCACAACAGAGCACTTTGACCTTTAGCTCTTAACTCCAAACAAAAGTACACAGTTTCTTCCAAGGGCTTTAGTAGATTTTTCACTTGGGAGGAGAAATCTACACCTGTATTAGTCAGGGTTCTACAGAGAAATACAACCAGCAAGGTGTGTGTGTGTATACACAAACATATACATACATTCATTTGTATATATATTATATTATTACAAGAAATTGATTCACACAATGATGGAGGCTGAGAAGTCCTAAAATCTGCAGTTGTCAAGCTGGAGATGCAGGAGAATCAATAGTGTTGGTGTAAAGTAAATTCCAGTCTAAGAACTGGCAGACTTGAGACCCAACAAGAGCCAAGAGAGAAAGGTGGATATTTTAAGGAATTGGCTCACATAGTTATGGGGGCTGGCAAGTCTGAAATCCATAGGACAGGCCAGCAGGCTGAAAATTCAGGAAAGACTTGGTGTTGTCACAGTCTCGAGTCCAAAATCCAGAGGGCAAGCCAAGCAGTCTGGAAACCCAAGCAGGATTTCTATGTGGCCGTCTTGAAGCCAAATTCTTTCTTTGGGAAACCTCGGTCTTAAGGCCTTCAACTGATTAGATGAGGCCCACCCACATTCTAGAGGGTGAACTGCCTCATTCAAAGTATGTTGATTTAAATGTTAGTCACATCTAAAAAAATATATCCACAGCAACATCTAGACTGTGTCGCTCTTCTGCTCATTAGAGCTGTTGCCAATAATACAGT